AACAGAAAGAAAAAAGAGATCAGATAAACTTTTATAGTGAGATTAAAGTGAATAAAANCCTGTGCAGAAATCCACCACTGATTCCAAGAATTTATAAAATTTATTTTAAACAAAATTAATATTTGATTTGCTTTTGTGGAGTGTGCCATCAGATCAGCTTGACCAAGCTTATTATCTCAACCATCACTCTTTGAAGCTTTCTTTGAGGTTTCATAATCTCATCATTCTTCTTAAGTCTTATGGTGAATGCACAGGGGGTGATATTTAAAAAACAAACACAAAAAACAGTGAGTAAAAAGAAACAAGTTATGTGAGGATGCTTTGAAATGAGAGCAGATGAGCTGAGCACAGCTGGGTTTGTTCAATACATGTACCAAACTGATATCAATGCTGTTAAAATTATCTTATGTAACATATGTCACTATGTAGGAGTTTATATTTCTAGGCAATGTACATTTAGAAAAGTAATGGATTTTCCTTGTTTGTAACTCAGAAAGTAGCAAATAGTCCAAAATAAAAATTAACCCAATATGACAACACTGTTGTATCACGTGTGCCTGTACAGATACTATATGCCATACAGTATGGTAGCCTTTGTGTTTGAGTTCCAAGTAAAATTTAACTTTTGGGGTAAAATTTCCTTAAAACAAAGTTCAAATTCCAAGTTGTTCAACCTCTGAGCACTTGAGTTCTGAGACCACTTTATTTTATTTTTATATATCTTGTGGCTTTTCCATTGACACAATGTAGTCTTACTGGCTTTTCTATTACCATATAAACATCTTTAAAATGTTTCTTTACACTTTTATGGGATTGAGTGAAAAAGTAAGATTTTTTAAACGATTTATATGTTTATTCAAATTGCATTTGTTACAATGTCTGTATAAATAGTAGAGATTTTATATATAAGTATGTGGATAAAATCCAATTTAAAAAACTGTAATGTCAATGAGCTTCAGACAGAAAAACAAAAGGGTAATGGGATAAACTGATCTTAATTTTGGAAGAAAAACCTAACTTCCTGATCACATTTCTAGAATGACTTACACATTCATATCTTAGGAAATAAATTTTGAATAATAAACCAACTTGATGGATACATTTTAGACAGAACATGGATTTGGTTAGTATACAAATGTGATTTCTTGTCCTTCATCAATCTTATAAAAACTAAATTCAGTTTATTTTATTTTATTTATTGTTACTATAACTTTTTCCTCTTTCTTTTTTTCATACATGTCCTTGTTATAATTTGCAACAATCTTTAATCATATTTATATTTTTATCATATTACTGAAATACACTTATTTTCTTTTATTGTATAATATTAATTCAAAAATGTAAAATGTTGTAAAAATATTGTAAATTTTTTTCCTGACCAAACTCTAATTTGTAATTTTTAAATGAAAAACTACCCTGCTCTACAAGCTGAAGATGACCTAAATGAACAACTTAACATCAGAAACATTTCTTGTTAGCTTTTCCATATTTCTTCAATTTCATGTAGCTGAAAACTTGCATTCCATTTAAGGGCCTGAGCTCTTCAATTTGCTTTCGTCATCACTGTGTTTAGTTTGCATGTCCATAGTTTTGTTAAGGTTAAAAAACCAATTCAAAAAAACTGGAACAGAGTTCAACACAACAATAACTTTTCAAGCCTGCTTTCAGTCTACATAATAACACTGGGTTGTGTAAGGTAGTAGTATGCTCAGGTGCTGTGTGAAGAGGGGGCATAGGGTACATTTGAGAGGCCTTTTTTACCATATTCTTATCTCCATGCAACTCCCACATCCTTGATTTGCCCACAATATGAGTCAGTTTATACAAACGATTAAAACACCAGTATTAACTCCATTCCTACTCCCTGTGCCTAATCTGCTTATTATGGTGCATGCGTGTTAATTGTTATGCACACTTCAATTTAAAACTTTATAATTTCCTATTCTAAATGTAGTTATGTTCTAAATGGTTTATGCTGTTCCCTTTTTCAATTTAAAATATCTGTTTGAAAAGTTTTGTTCGTTTCTGTATCTGCCTGAGGACAATGCCCATTACTGCACTGAAAGTGCTAGCAGCAAAATAAAACATCCTTTAAATGTCTTTAAAGCCTTTTTTTGTAGAAGTTTCTCTCTTAAATTAGTAAAACTATTGTTGTGACATTCACTATACAACTCTGATCATTTTACGTAATCTTTTACAGTCTTTGTAATTAACATATTCTCATTGTCTAGTTGCTTTTTGAACTTTTAGTATTTCTATTGATCTTATTTGGTGTTCATTGAGGACTTGATGTATTAATCTTACTTCCTCCAGTTTTACTATCACACTGGGCTCTGTACAGAGGCGAATTTAATGGCAGGTGTACCAGGTTCAGACCCTGGACCCCAACTTCTGAAGGGCCCTGCAAAACCTCAACTTTACACTTTTTCTAATGACAGTAAGTTTGGTTATATATATGCAATTTTAATTATGTACAAGTTTAGAATCAGCAGTAAAATTTGAATATAATATTCAAATTTTATGGGAATAAAATATTAACAGTACATAATAGTTTTTGTTTATTTAAAAATATTGTTAACATGTATTTTTATTTTCCCTGTTTCTTTCTTTTTTTAAGGGGCTCAATATTTTCTTCTGTGCCCAGGCCTCAACCTTTAATCAGCCTAATACTTCAGCCCAGATGAGGAGGTAACCCAGTGCCTTACAGGACACGGGAACTTCGCATCATACCTGCACTGCTTTGGTAAGCAGATCAATAGCACCTGTGATTGTGATGGAACAGAGTGAAGACGATACACTACATTTTCTCTTCAGCTGCAACAAATACAACCAACAACGTGCAGAACTCTCCAAACAGGACTCAACTGGCCCCCCAATCCTGCAGACATTCTCGATAACAAAAAACTATGGACAAAAATGAAGAATTTCATACGCAATACAAAAAAAACTCAGGCCCACTAATTCCATTAGCCAGGGAGATGAGTGACATGGCTGCATCCCATATCTAGACCGATGATAGACTGGCTGATATCATTTAAGATAGGCCAGCTACTTGCCCAATTTGTTCAACCTGCAATTTGACTGTACTGTGCATATGCAAATTAGACCCACTGGGTTTATATCTACTAGATTCTTCAATGTTCTTAATGCTAAATTTTATAATGTATTATCTCTTGTCAACCCAATTTACATCACTATCCATATAAATATGTGACTTAGCCATATCAATAACTAATATTCATGTTTTGTTCTATATCTAACTTTATGTAATAATACTTCACTCCTTTATTGAGTGTCGATATTTGTATAAATTATATATATGAAGCGGTCACAAATCGTGTACTTTGTAATTGTTAAAACATTGTGTCTGTACCCCCCTTTGCTGTACACACTCGCCCACACACGAAAATTTGTCATGTTTGTTTTTTATACTGTTTCACTGAACATATTTTGTCTTGTCACTGTATTTTTGCTTGTTCAACAATTATGACGCAGACGCTCAATGATCCGACACTTCCCTTCAATCTTTCCCTTCCTACTTACTATCACTTCCTCTTCTAATTTCAATTTCATCATTTCTAATTTCTTAGAGGTAAAGTCTCTACTCTTTTAATGTAATGTAGACTCAAAGCAGGTTTGAAAAGTGTTGTTATTGTGTTGAACTCTGTTCCAGTTTTTTGAATTGGTTTTTTGACCTTAACAAAATTATGGACATGCAAACTAAACACAGTGATGACAAAAGCAAATTGAAGAGCTTGAGCCCTTAAATGAAATGCAAGTTTTCAGCTACATGAAATTGAGGAAATATGGAGAAGCTAACAAGAAATGTTTCTGATGTTAAGTTGTTCATTTAGGTCATCTTCAGCTTGTAGAGCAGGATAGTTTTTCATTTAAAAATTACAAATTAGAATTTGGTCAGAAAAAAATTTACAATATTTTTACAACATTTTACATTTTATATTTTTAAATTAACATTATACAATAAAAGAAAATAAGTATATTTCAGTAATACGATAAAAATATAAATATGATTAAAGATTGTTGCAAATTATAACAAGAACATGTATGTTCCCTCAGGTGAAGGCTTGCACACTTTTACAACAAATTTTTCATTTAATAAAATATATCTGTGATATATGATTGCAATTCATATTTTTATTATACGATATTTAAAAACAATCAATTTTTCTTATTTTGTCCTTTGCTTTAATTACACAAAATAAAAATATTGCTAAATTTTTGTGATGGAAATCCGATATTTCAAATATCTGATTTATACCATAAAAATTTAAATATATTAAGTATATAAGTATAACAAACATTGTGAAGCCCTATATGTATATAGAATCACCACCAAACAACCGCCTAAATATTTGGGCTACTGGCAAGTGCATCGCATGGCAAGCAGAGACTGTGGGTTTATGCCCTGACCAAGGTCAGTTCTTTTTTCCAGATAGTTCTAAATTACTTAATAAATTATTTAAATTATATTAATAATAATAAAACTCTTACATTCTCTCTTTACAAGAAATAATTTGATTTAAAGCATTTTAGTTAAGTAAACATCAACAGCAATATTGACTAAATAAATTTAAAACATTTAAATTTTAAAAAGTTAAAAAAAATTTATTTTACTAGATCTCTATTATTAAAATAAATATATTCTGAAAATCTTTAAAATTCAGCAAGAAATTTATTTAACTAGTATTTTTGGCTTTCTTAAAAGTTATAATAATTATTTGTATAAAATTTAAATTTTGTTCTACTCTTGAAATGAACTGAGACTTAAATTTTAATATGCATTCAAATGATTCTATTGTTATAATCCAAAAAATATTAGTTAAATAAATTTTCTGCTTGTAATAGCAAGTTTGTTTTTTTCATTTTTATTTTAGTTAGTAAAAATTTGTAGGAAAGAATAAAATATTTTGACACTAAATAATACGAGTTTAATTACTTTTACCTTAATACAAAAAATAAAATATACTTTCATAACTTACGTTGTTCCAGGATGAAGAGCATATTTTTTCTTCTCTAATCTATTTTTGCTAGCAAAAACATCATGCCTTTCAGTTTTTTTCCATAGATAATAGAATTGTACCAATTCACCTACGGATCTAGTTCGAACCTAATATAATTTTAAAAAATTTTGAACATTTATGAGTTTCAAAGAATAATAAACTCATAATTAATGTTCTGATATAATTCTTCATCTAATGGTTTTCATATTAAATTTAATCTCTCTGAATTAAAATAAACACAAAATAAAAAATGGTAGTGAAGAACAGTAATACTTCTATAATTAAAAAAACATTTTTATCATATATGCAGGGCATTATAATTTTTTATTTTAAAATAATCCCAAAACCTCCTAGAGGGATGAATTAATATTAAAATTATATGCATATAATTATAAGATATAAATTAGCAGAAAGGTGGTTAGCTCCGGATGGAGAGCAGCACTGAACAGAGATTTTTTTCTTTTCTATAATACATAATGCTATCTATACTATGAATATATGAAGCATACACGCCAATAGCAAAGTCATTCTTTCCTCATAAGTATGTAATGTGAAACATGACAAGACATCAAAGAATTATTTGCTTAGAAAAATATCACAAAATCATTCAAAAAGAATTTTACTTATAATCAATGTGCTAGAATTTAAAATAAAATTAATGTCAGGGAAACCAAATACCATAGGTAGGCAGTTGTATAATACTGTCCATTTTTGACTACGAATATAGTAGTTTTTGTCACAGTTGTTTTTGTGTTTTCAAGTACTGGTAATGCCAGATATACCTGGGAGGTATTCTTAGACTGAGTATGACTAGGAAGAAATGCTGGAAAATAAGTAATCAAGTGAAAATAGGAAAGAAAAAAAGAAAACAATCAGAGACTTCTACAAGTAGAAATGAAGTGTTGGCATGGCTATATCAGAGAATATTGTGACTTGCTGCAGAGTATGCAGAAAGTCCTACAACAGGGATGTCCAACCCGCGGCCCGTGGGCCGCATGCGGCCCAAGGCAAGTTCCAATGCGGCCCAATAGAGGTGTAAACAAAACCGACAAATGTTTTAATTTTTTATTATTTATTTATTTCAACAGCATAAACTCAGAAATGAAGTTTCGCAAAGCCATAAACCTTTATTCATATTTTAGTTTTGAGTGGAAATGAAATATTTTAATGTACTTGGAGATGTGTGAATGAGGAAGGATTACTAAATAAAGCTGAAGTTGTGACTCAAAAGATTATAGACCCAAATTTGGTGAAAAGAGAGAAAGGACAAAAGATAAAAAGTTGTCAGAAAGGTTAAATAGTTCTTTTGTTAGGCAAATATTGAGTCTTAATTTTCCAATCTTTCTCACTTTATCTTTTGTCCTTTCTCTTCTTTTTCCGAATTTGGCTCTATAATCCTTTGAGTTAAAACTCCAGCTTTATTTAGTATTCCTTCCAGCGTTGCAAGATTTGGCT